TGTTAGATATTCAAGTGTGATGAGTCCCACATTGATTAATAATGAGCTAAGTGAAGAGTATATAAGTAGAGAGACCCATGAACCCAATGCCTTAAGGTTTTGAGTTGAGATGTGATGTCAGACTCACCCATTGGTGGTGGTCCCCCGTCACGGGCTTTCCCCTGGACCCCACTGACAGTGATATGTGGTATCATAGCCGGGTTAGGCTCGAGCTAGCCTGATGATTGGTGATGATCCTCCGATATAACAGTAGCTATATATCACAATCATACTTTGTCCTAGCTAGTTGTGGTTCAACTCAATAGTTTTTTTCTCATCATTTTTCTGCCATTGACAAAAACAATAGCCACGAGAGTAACTTTTGCCATGCATCTACAATTTAAGATAGAAAGAGTGTGGGTATTACTATGAAGAAGCAGAGTAAGCTAAAATTGAGATTAAAGCATTGTAGATTCAATAATATATAATATCATGATTAATTTCGTATTTAAATCTACGATGTAAAAATGCAAATGCTTAGTCACAGGATTAATTCGGGGTGTAATAAAAGCAATTAACAGGCACCCAGATCACGATTCTATGTCCATGAGAAACTCCAATGTATAACTTTTGACTTAGTAATATGTAATTTAATTGATTAGTAAACTTGATTATCTTATTTTACAGCTTCGTTTCTGTTAATTATTATTTTCAACTCTGATTATATTTTAAAAATATATACTTGTCAAACAACTTGATTTCACATGCAATATTATAAAGTTAAACTAAAGGGATTTTAATATTTCAATAATGTTATTTATACAATCGTTTTAATTTGTTTTATAAATTATACATAACTAATTCTCATTGCGCAAAATGTCATTTTTTTTTCCATCAAATTAAATTACAGCAATAATGGGTAGATAATATAAAGTACTTTTGGGTTAAGGAACCGTTACTTTCTTTTAACAGTTTGGCGAGCCTCTAGTTAATTCCATAGGTATAAGTTTCACCGATCGAATAGGTATTTCTAATAGACATTAAACAACTAGAACAGTTGTGAGTGGAAATTTCAGTGTAACATCAAATCAGCTACATGCAAAAATAGAAACCTAAAAGTGATAGGTGATATATCCAAAAATCACGGCTATCAATTGATGCGGATATTTCAATAGTCATGTGTTTAACACCCTGTATTAGTAAATTATGTAATGTGGTTTCTTATTCTTATTAAGCAACAAGAAAGTGTAGGAAAGTCGAAACTGAATATAAGCCATTGATAAAATAGCCTAGAGAGCCCTACAAAGAAACTAGGCATAATGGAGGTGACCTAGATGAACATGAACTACTCAAAGTGGAAGTTCTACCTGACCTTTTACTAGCCCTTTTGGTGGACTCTCTTAAAGAAAGATGCTTATTGATGGGATGGGTGTGACAGTCAATCAAAAGTTTCAAGTTTTGGGCTATGTCCAATCAAAGATATGGCCCACACTAGCCCTTTGTTTCGGCCCATTAATGTTGTCTCCCTTTACTCTGTTGTTCGAGGTGAAAAGTACTAAACTGTTCACGTAGTGTGCTTGAAATTAATGAATTGAGTAGGCAAGACAAAGAATCATCCCATATTTCTCTGACTTTTTGCCCAACATTGAGAATTTCTCCATTTGTATACCGTGATGCTACTTTTCCAAAGATTCCCAGTGGTTTCAAAGATTACAATAACTAATATCCAAGGTAGGGTTATGTCATGTATGTGGACTTAGCAAAATATGAAAGTAAAGTTAATTACGTAGGAGTGCAAACACGTGAACTATTCAGCAGGGTTATTATTATTTTTTTAAAAGAAAAATATCAAAAGAGTATATTACTCAAATAACTTGAAAAATTAAAGTAAAACTCACGTATTTAAAATTATTGGAAGAACAAATATTGCAGAAAAATTGTTATGTTATAGAAATAATTAATTTAAGATCCACCATTTTAAAAATAAATTATAGTTATTGATGAGTCAGTTGAAAAAGTGAAATTTGACATACACAATGAGCCCAGTTGGATTTTTTTCTTTAAAAGTTGCTTTTTTTAAGAAAAAAAAGCACTTCTAGAAAAAAGTTTGTTTGGATACCTGCTTTTAAAAAAAGCAGAAATCATAAAAAAAGTCAAAAATCTACATTTTCAGAAGTTAAAAATTTTAGCTTCTAAAAAAACAGAAGTCAAAAGCCAATTATTTTTTTTCAAAAATAAAATATTTTTTTTTTAAAATCTAAATAGTTGAAACTTTTATAGAAAGTACTTTTAAAATAAGAAAGTAAAAAAAATAACTTTCTTAAAAAGCCAATACAAACGAGCTCATTGTCCTAAAATTATATCAACTGTTCTTTTTGCATATGCATGTTATAAATTTTTCTATCGTCACTTTAGATAAGGTTATCTACAATTACCACAAAAATTATGTCATTTTGATTGATGAAGGGTGTTTCTATAATTTTAAATGAATTAATAAAAAGTGTTTTCTTAACTTTATTTATTTTTTATTATATACGTTTTACTGAAACACCATTCATTAATTCACCTAAAATTATAGAAACACCCTTCATCAATCAAAATGACGTAATTTTTGGAGTAACTGTAGATAATCTTATCTAAAGTTGCTGTCGAAATATTTTTTTTTATATATATAAGTAAAATCATTTCTACCGCCGCTTTACGCACAACAACAACATATATATGGTTATGATTCCCCGCATTTAATGTTTTCAAGTATATATATGACTAATATTTGACTGCTACACATAGTAGCTGTAGAAATGTAAATCCCATATATATATATATATATATATATATATATATATATAGGGATAGTATCCGTTTACAATATTTTTTTGCAAATTATATTAAGTACAACCGGTCGTACACTACATGATCAAAGTATGACCGGTCGTACTTAGTGTAGTTTATAAGAGTCTGTAAACAAAAAAATTTGTAAATATAATCTACCCTATATATATATATATATATATATATATATATATATATATATAAGAGTCGTAAACACACAATGCGATTGGTTTACATGTTAATTACACAGTGCAACTATCACTTCAGTTGCATTAGCATCACCATCACGATCACCGACAGCGTCACTATCACTATCCCTTTTGGTAATAACAAAGTGGGGAGAGAGAAACACACGCCTCCCCCTCTACAGTTCTCCATGTCTACTTCCTGCGTTCATATATTATCATTCACTATCACTTTTTATTTCTCTGTAATTGAAAGGGACTGTGCCATCGCCCACTCACTCTCACTTTTTAGTGTGTCTATGTATCTGTGACTGTGTGTATTAGATAGAGATAAGAGATAGAGAGATAGAGAGAGTAAATGCGGGCAGAAGAAAAATCAGAAAACCAATATGAAGATTAAGTAGCTCAAATGCCAAGCATATGGTTTAGTGCATAGAGCTTGAATTGGTTGTTTGTGTGATATAATAATTATGAGCTCAAATTAAATAGTAAAAAAATAGTTTTTTAGTCAGATATCTGTACTCTATGTAGTTTGAATATAGAGTCATCATTATAATATAGTTTCAATTTGAGTCTGGACATTTTTTTAATTTTAATTTGTTTATATTATAATGTATTTAAATTATGTTAAACACAAAGCACCTGAGCAGACAACATAAGAAAAGTTATAATTTTATTTAATTTTTTTATACAAGTAAGAATTGAACACATAACCTAATACAACTTATCCAATCTCTTACAAAATATATTTTAATTTTTAGATAGGGCCAAATACAAATTTTAACCCAGCAAAATTATAATTTTAACCTGAATAAAATTATATATAATTAATTATATATAATAAGTACAATTTATTAAAATTTAGTCCGGACCGATATCACCCCAACTATTATGTGCAATTTGGTCATGACTGGTTCTGTGTAATTTTTTATCTCTTTCTTCACCTGCATTATTAAATAGGTGGGATTCAATTATTGACTGATCATGTGCAATTTTAACATGAGAGGATTCATTCCCAAATGATATTGAAATTGATAAAATATTACCAAATGTTCAAAACCCTTTGCCAATGGTATATCTATCAACGAGGCAAGTTTGTTGATAACATATCTCAACCTAATATTTTAAATTTTTGGTAATTATATAATCCTCATTTGTTATGTCTAATTAAAGTGGGACTTTACACCACTGGTACTTAAATATTTCCAACAAGACTAAGTGCCCTATATGAATCGGAGAATGCTTAAATTGGATCAATTCTCTGTATGAGTAGTTGAAAGTGCTGGAATTGGACTAATTAAATTTTGATGAACCACTTGAGGGAATATAAAAAAAATGGAGTGTGTTGAATGAGAGAGAGAGAGAGAAGTGAAGAGGGAGTGCAACTGGTACTGCTATAGTGTCGTATTGGTGCGCTAATCCATGCGTTGCATCCTCTCCTTGCCCTCATTGCCTCTCTAACCCTTCCCTCCTTTGCCGGTGCTATGTCTCCTCCATTTCCAAACACGCCAAGACGAACCATATCATCATCAATTTTCCTTCATTTCACGTGCGCACACACACATATACACATGCCTCCCTATCCATGCTACCACCCTCTTTCTCCCATTCTCTCTGTTCCATAACACTCTCTATACTGCACGCACACAACATTAAGGGACTCAAATAAATCCTTAACATAATGTCACGCTCAAAATACACTTTTATATATATTTTTTTAAAAAAAATAGTTTTATACATGTTAATTATCAATGTTGGTTTAAATGTTGAATCTCAAAAGCCAAAAGCCAATTAAAACATCCACAAGATTTGTTTATTTATATTGGCTTTCTCGTCCCCACTTACCATCTCAGAAACTATCACACCCCTCAAAAACTCTCTTTCACTCCCTCACTCTACACTCTCTCCTAGCTGCTGCTGCTACACTACTACTACTAGTACTACTACTACCTTCTCATCATATAATATTACACCATATTCTATTAACCCCACATCATTCTCACCATGCAAACTCACTCTTTCTCCTCATACATATCCTCTTGTGAGAGTAGTGCCTTCTTAGAACATGATGACGAGGTTGTTGATGAAGCCTCCATTTCACTCTCCCTTGGCCTTCCTGGCCAATACAACAACCCCAAAGTCCCTTCCTCAAATAACCACTCTGCTACTACTCTGCATCATCATCATCATCATCATAGACAGCAACAAAACCCTACCTCTGATGAACAACAGAGTGGTGTAACAGTTGCACTTCACATTGGCCTTCCCACAACTTCATCACCAAACACCACCCCTACTAGCAAACCGGATCATTTGGCTTCTGCTCCGGTTCAGGGTCAATATTGGATCCCTTCTCCTGCTCAAATACTCATTGGACCAACACAGTTCTCTTGCACAGTCTGCAAAAAAATGTTCAATCGTTTCAACAACATGCAGGTTAGTCAACAACAGCTGAAACTGATTATTCATAAGCATTTATTAGAGACTTCAATTCGAAAGAAACACCACTTGCTTTCTTTAATTTCTATCCAAGATTTAAATATACAAGTACAAGTAACAGTTACCCACTCTAGTAAAGGTCTACTTTGACACTACTTATTAACTCCATCTCCGAATGCCTTTTATTTTTGTATGATTGAAAAATTACGGGTTCGAAATCCAAAAACAGTGTTTTTTAAGGCTTGAGATTGCATTTAATGTTGTTTTAAGGGGGAGTGATGGAGAACAAAAATCTTGTAAATTTTTTGTACTTTATTATTTATTTTTTTCATACATGAATTTCACTAATGCAATGTTACATGACAGATGCATATGTGGGGACATGGGTCACAATATAGGAAAGGACCTGAATCATTGAGAGGAGCAAAACCAGCTTCTTCAATGTTGAGGCTTCCCTGTTATTGTTGTGCTGAGGGTTGCAAGAACAACATAGATCATCCAAGGTCAAGGCCACTCAAGGATTTCAGGACCCTTCAAACACACTACAAAAGGAAGCATGGAGCGAAGCCATTTGGGTGCAGAAAGTGTGGGAAGCCATTTGCAGTGAGAGGTGATTGGAGGACACACGAGAAAAATTGTGGGAAGCTTTGGTTCTGCATTTGTGGTTCTGATTTCAAGCACAAGAGGTCCCTTAAAGACCATGTTCGTGCCTTTGGTGATGGCCACGCTCCACACACTGTGGAGAGTTGTGATCAGTTGGGGGAAGAAGAACTATTAGGTGATGATCAAGATGATGAGGAATTAGAAGACGAAGAAGAAGAAGAATATGATGATGATGATAATAACAACAACAACAACAACAATGAAGTGGTTTTTGCTTTTAATTAATTAATACAAATTAAGTAGGTGTTTGTTAACTTTGTTAAGATTTTCCTTGTAACTAAATTAAGGTTTGGATTAATCAATTAGTGTTCTGTATCTTTGTCTGATGTCTCAGAGAGAGAGAGGGTGCGAGAAGATGGAGACAAACAGTGAAATGAAAGCTAAGGTTCTTGCATTTAATGCCAGAAGTGGCAGTCTTATCTAATTAAAGGACGTTTTCTTTTTCATGCTGCTTTTTCCTGTGATAATGAGAGAGAGAGAGAGAGAGAGAGAGAGTTAGCTAGGAAGGTAGTCAAGAGTATTCAGTGACTGCAGATGAGAGACAGACATGCAGACAAGGGCAGTCACAGATTCTACTGTTCATCTTTGCATTTGCTTGCCATAGATATTGAGCAGAGAAAGAGACAGATATAATAGAGAAAGAGAAAGAGAGAGTTAAATTTGTTTGAGGCTCAGTGATACTGAGCTTGGAGTGGCACTGTTAACACTTTGATGGATTGCTACTGTCAGTGTGGGTAACAATGGACCACTTATGTGTAGCTGTTTTTGGGGTTTCACCCAAAGTGTTGCCTTTTGCCTTTTCAGAACAACTACAAACTGATACTATACCCATCCATTTTCAGCACCTTTGTTGTCTTATTATTTTTTACCCTCCTCACTCTATTTTTAACCCCCTCATCAGTATATAACTATATACTAATAAATCTGCAACAATGTCAATTATTCATGTTCATAATATATATAATAAAAAAAATGATAGTAATAATAATAATAATCAGAAGCAATCATTCATAAATAACACTTATATTTAATGCATGTGCATGGCCCTTATATACTGATCATTGTTCTTTGCTCGAGGCTTTCTTTGTGCCATGTACGTTCAATCTTGCCCCCACTTTTTCTTCCCGCTTTCTTCTTTTGTTAAATGGAAAGCAGATTGAAAAATGAAACCCGGTAGAACAAAATGGAAAGATTGGGAAATAAAAAAGAAGAAGGAATAAATTAATACTGTGCATGCATGCTTGGACCTTCAAATTGAAACTCTTAATTATATTGTTTTTATTTCATTGGTTTAAGTAACTTTCGTTAATTGATGTTTGTCTGGTTAATAGGGATAAACAATTCTCAAAAGCATTAACAACAGAAAACACTAGCTAGGGATAGGGAGCCTAGGATGACAGTGAAGTAGTATTAGGGACATAAGTTTAAGATCCGAGGCAAAAGACTCAATTCAGACTAACAGCTACTTTAGCCTTTGAATTCCTTAGTTCCCCGTTAAGTAGGCAATTTTACTGTTACCTTCATTTATTTACTTCTTGCATGGCACATAAACTAAACATCAAGCATCCTTGGTGTAACAAATAGCACAATTTTTAATATATATATATATATATATATATATATATATTAAAATCATTTCGCTACCAAATTTGTATAATACATTAGTCGAACAACACCTCAAGATAACCTCATAACAATTATTTATCATAAACCCTAATTCTAGTTACACTTATATCTCTCAAATAAAGCTCTCACCACATACAACTAATGCAAAATTATTAATGTATACCAAATGATGGTAGCTCAGTTGGCACATGGGAGCTAAGTAGGTGGGGGTGAGAGTAGGGATGTAAATAGGCTAGGCCGGCCTACAGGGGCCTACAGCCTGACCTATGTTAGGCCCGGCCTGGCCCAGCCTATTTAATAATTAGAGCGGGCCTAGGCTTATGGAAAAGCCTTTTAAATAAATAGGTCGTAGGCCTCCAACACAAAGCCCAGCCTACAAAGCCTATAGGCCGGCCTGTTTATTTAAATTTTTTTTATTATACTTAATATATATTCAAAAAGTGGAAGTGTATCAAAGTAGGAGAAAGAGAAGAAGACACATTAGAAGATTGTCAAAGCTGAAAAAAAAAAACAATCTTTGTTGTCATGAATATTATTTAAAAATTTGTGTGTTCTTGTTAAAAAACATTTGAGAATTTTTATAATTTGGATCTTTGTTGATTGTTGTCATGAATATTATTTAAAAATTTGTGTGTTCTTGTTAAAAAATATTTGAGAATTTTATAATTTGGATCTTGGTTGAACATTATTTTATAATGAATGAGATTTTTTTTTTTATTTTAGTTTAATTTACAACTTCGTAGGCCTAAAAGGCCTCATGGGCCATGGTAGGCTTTTAATTTTTTAACAATAGGCCGGACTTAGCCTACAAACTAAGCTTTTGATAGGCTGATAGGCCAGATAGGCTCAATATGTTTTTACGTAGGCTTGGGTCGCCAAAGCCAAAGCCCAGCCCGGCCCAGCCCATTTACATCCCTAGGTGAGAGCATGTGTTTAAATCTCTCCAGTACCATCTTTGGGAGAAATTTAAAGCCGTAATTCTGAACTCATCCCGAATCGAATTAGTTGCAAAGCAATGAACCGATTGGAATATTTCTAAAATTTTTAATGTTTTACTTCAACTGTTACACACAATTTTAGGGATTAATCTTTTATTTCGTCAACTCTAAATTTTTGGTATCTATACTATATATTAAGTCAAGAGCTGAATTGTAGGAATACTGATGATGCATGATGAATCCACGTTTGAATAGGTAAAATATTTTATGTGTCCAAATGCGGGAATCATATATAGTACAATCTTATAAATGTATGGACATAGGTGTTGACCTCTTCTCGTATCTAAAAATATGGATTGACTTACTCATGTATAAAAGCCCAGAGACTCACCATAATATATAACTAATAATAAAGGTAGTTATGAAGTCCAAAACACAAAAAATCAATATTTAAGACAAACAATAATATAACATCTAATTATCTGAATTTCATATTAAAGAATAATATATGTGATGTAAAACAACACACTGCAATTAGCCGCAAAAATATCACGTCACATCGATGCCTGCATCTTATTTTCCTTTTCTCTTGGTTTAAAGAACCTTCACGAATAATCGATGCGGCTAACAATTCTTCTTAACCAATAGCCACACATGAGTACACATACAACGAAAATGCAACTGTGCCTTACCAATTCTTATTTTTCAACCAATCTTTTGTTTTTTTATTGTCAACCTCAAACACGGACCTTACCAAGCATCGTCAGCAATATAAAAACTTCCACAAACAAGACAACATCTAAAAATTTATCTCTCTTATGCAATTCATGTAAAGAAGTCATTTATACCTTTCGTTTAATCATTTTTGGCATTTATGAATGTAAATATATAGTAGTCAGTGAGTGCTAACATGTTGTATCCATTGGAAATTCAAGTGTTATTAGGAAGTCACAAGAGATCATTATGGATAGCTAAGTCGTAATCTATCATAATAAATGAGTTTGATACCACATTTTAACCTTAGACTTTAAGTAACGAGTTCATGCATCCCTTTCATTCATATATTAAAGTTGGGATATATTTTTCTTATGTTGTAGGAAAAGAATTACCTCATGTTGTAGAAATAAAGCTATAAGTGGGACCCACATGTAAGAGGAGAGAGAAAAAAAAAGTGGTGGGACCCAACTCCTTTTTGTGTGTGTAGGAGAGATGTTTATCTCATGTAAAATGAGATAAACATAACCCATTAAAGTTTTAAGTTAAGATATAGTGTCAAATTCATTTATTTTAATTTGTGGCATAGCTCATTAATGGTGGCCTAGCTACCTACATTAAGGCTCTTGCTAACCACCTACCGGTGTAGAAGAGCTAATAGTTTGATTGGTTCGAGTATAGGAGATAATGATTATATTGGTGTTTGGGTTTGTTATTCCTCCCAAACCCATGGTGTGGAGACAAAGTGTGACTCTTGGTTAGTAACTATTAATATTCCAGAAAAAACTTCAGCTTGAGGAGAGCATATTAATGTTTGGTCTCAGAGGGGGAGTTAATGTTAAGAATTAAATGTGTGTGAAGTCTAATTGGTTAAGAATATAATAAGTAAGAAAGGACCCTTGTATTTATTGTCTTAAGATTTTAAGTTAAATTAGGGTGTCGAACTTATTTATTGTAGTGAATTTTTAGTTAATCCATTGATAATGATCTCCTTTACCTTCCCTATCCCTAATCTTAACAACCATCGTGGTGACAAAACGGATAACTCACCCCACTTTTGAAGATGGGTTGGAAAATTCGACTCATTAGACCAAACCCGTTTTAAAAATAAAAGTTAAAAAAAAAAAAAAAGTTAGGCGGGTTGAAATATATGACGGGGCAGGTCGGCCTTGTTTTGCCACCAATTTTGTGAAGAAACATTACCCTTTCCTTATTTTATTTATTTTGGACCCAGCTATATATTAACTAAAAGAAAACAGATGCGAGATGAATGTAATGAAATACATTAATTATATTGATTTTTCTATTATTATTTTCTAATATCATAGCTGCATCTCTCTCTCTCAACTTTAATTTTGTATTATATATGTGTAATGGCACATGCTAGTCTGAACTAGCTGAAACTGTCATATATAATATGGAAATCATTTTTTTCATTTAAAGGAGAAAATATTTCTCCTACTAGAGTGACTCATAGTATAAGTGGGGTCTACAAAATAGTGGAGAGAAAAAAATTCAAGGTGAGACCCACTTACACTACTAAAAAAGTCTTTTTTTTCGACGAAAAAATTCTGTCGAAAATGATGAAAATTCCATCGAAAATAAACTTTTCAACGGAATTATCAACGGAAATGAAGTCGTTGAATTTCTCTTTGTTGATAACAGATCACGATTATATATGCTGTTGCTGCTTCATTCTACTCAGATCACGATTATATATGCTGATAATTGCATATCACTCATGTTGCCTTTATTTTTGTTGATTGCATTTTTTGTATCGTTTAAGTTTACTATTGAGAGCTTTCCAGCAAGTCTGCGCTTAGGAGGTCTTGTCCCTCATCGGGCTTTGGCGTGTGTGCCATTTAC